GAGCACTCTGTAGAAAAACAATCTGATGCTTTTGTTGCGATCATTTTGATCCTTGGGCCTGTTTTATTTATGTGCTTGTCTTGTGCACACCGGGGACTTTTGCAAATGTATTCCAATGTGGTTTTACTGCAAATGGCAAATAAATGAATCTGAGAAGTGAGGAACCTGACCTCATTACACCCTTTTTATGAACTGTTAAAAGGTTTATAAAAAGGGTGGAAAGGTCCCTCTCCACCAAACCAAACATCCGGCATTTTCTTTTCTTTGTCACAACAGGGAGAGTGGAGCAAACGTGAAATTGGCCTTTTCTGTTCAGTCATTTTAGGTTTTAGAAAATCCGATAACTCCCGTGCACTCGTGAAGGGGGTAAACACATCCCATTGGTTCATTTTTATCGGTCCGCTCCAAAATATGTTTTATTATTATTGACTAGACTATAGAGACTATAACATCTGGTTACTTCCATTACTATTTAAAAACACATGATAACTTTACTACTTTTAGGGTTTAGAGATTTTTCCATAATATAAAAAAATGTGTCTGGAAAAAAATCTCTGACTGCTTCTGTAAGAGTATCAGTAAAACACCTCTAGTGGTCGGAGTGGGGAATTACATGTTGCTAGATTTATGCTGCCTTAGAGCTGCCTTAGAGCTGCCTCCATGGCCCTGTCTCTCTCTCCATCTCAGAGCTCCACGTGAGGCTGATGGAGCTGCTGTCGCCCGGGGCCTGACACTCTCTCGTTGTGCATCACTCAGACGTGATTTTCAACATCCACAAACCATCAGTGTGAGCACTGGCACAGAGCAGATCTAACGTAGAGCAGATCTAATGTAGAGCAGGCCGGTCCCTGTGCTCCTCAGAGTCCCAGCAGGAGGCCAGTCCCTGTGCTCCTCAGAGTCCCAGCAGGAGGCTCCTCAGTCCCCTCCCTTATGCATCGATCTGCACTTGTGTGTTCTCATGGCTCCAGCTCAAAATGGACCCTTTAATTAAGTTAATGGAGCAGCTGTGTGGGCAGAGAGCGACCGGAATAGAACGATATGAGAAAGATGGGGTAAGGAGAGAGGAGGGAGGAGGAGGAGGGGGAGGGAGGGGAGGGAGGAGGGGGGTGAAGTAATAAATAAAAAGTGGGGTTAAGTGCAAAGACTTTAAGACATCAGTCAGAGGAGGAGAGAGCTGTGGTGGATCATAAGGGAGTGTGTGTGTGTGTGTGTGTGTGTGTGTGTCTGCATCTCTGTGTGTATGTGTATGTGTTTGTGTATGTGTGTGTGTGTGTGTGTGTGTGTGTGTGTGTGTGTGTGTCTGCATCTCTGTGTGTATGTGTATGTGTTTGTGTATGTGTGTGTGTGTGTGTGTGTGTGTGTGTGTGTGTGTGTGTGTCTGCGTCTCTGTGTGTATGTGTATGTGTGTGTGTGTGTGTGTGTGTGTGTGTGTGTGTGTGAGTGAGTGCGTGTGTGTGTCTCTTTGGACAGTGATGTTTTTAGCAAAGAGGTAAAACAGACCGGGTTGGTGGTCTGTGTTCCAATTATCGTGGGATCACACTCCTCAGCCTCCCTGGTAAGGTTTACTCCAAGGTACTGGAGAGGAGGCTACGGCCGATGGTTGAATTTCGGACACAGGAAGAGCAGTGTGGTTTTCGTCCCGGTCGCGGAAGACTGGGCCAGCTCTATACTCTCCATCGGATACTCGAGGGTTCATGGGAGTTCGCCCAACCTGTCCACATGTGCTTTATGGATTTGGAGAAGGCGTTCGACCGTGTTCCCCGGGGTGTTCTTTGGGGGGTTCTTCGGGAGTACGGGGTCGGAGGTCCTCTGCTGAGGGCCGTCCGGTCCCTGTATGACCGGAGCCAGAGTTGTGTTCGCATTTCCGGCAGTAAGTCAGACCTGTTTTCCGGTGCATGTTGGCCTCCGCCAAGGCTGCCCTTTGTCACCGGTTCTGTTCACTGTGTTTATGGACAGAATTTCTAGGCGCAGCCAGGGGCCGGAGGGGGTCCGGTTCGGGGACCACAGGATTTCATCTCTGCTGTTTGCGGACGATGTTGTCCTGATGGCTCCAACGAACCAGGACCTGCAACATGCACTGGGACGGTTTGCAGACGAGTGTGAAGCGGCTGGGATGAGAATGAGCACCTCCAAATCTGAGGCCATGGTGCTCGACCGGAAAAAGGTGCCTTGCTCTCTTCAGGTGGGTGGAGAGGTCCTTCCTCAAGTGGAGGGGTTCAAGTATCTCGGGGTCTTGTTCACGAGTGAGGGAAGGATGGAGCGTGAGATTGACAGGCGGATCGGTGCAGCGTGCGCAGTGATGCGGTCGCTGTATTGGACCGTTGTGGTAAAGAGGGAGCTGAGCCGAAAGGCAAAGCTCTCGATTTACCGGTCAATCTTCGTTCCCTCCCTCACCTATGGTCATGAGCTTTGGGTAATGACCGAACGAACAAGATCGCGGATACAAGCGGTCGAAATGAGCTTCCTCCGCAGAGTGGCTGGGCGCTCCCTTAGAGATAGGGTGAGTAGCTCAGTCACACAGGAGGAGCTCGGAGTAGAACCGCTGCTCCTTCAAGTCGAGAGGAACCAGTTAAGGTGGCTCGGGCATCTGTTCCGGATGCCCGAGCCACCTCCCCAGGCAGGGGAGGTGTTCCGGGCACGTCCCACTGGGAGGAGGCCCCGGGGAAGACCCAGGACACGCTGGAGGGACTATGTCTCTCAGCTGGGCTGGGAACGCCTTGGGGTCCCCCGGACGAGCTGGAGGAAGTGTGTGTGGATAGGGAAGTCTGGGCATCTCTGCTTAGACTGCTGCCCCCGCGACCCGGCAACGAATGAAGCGGAAGATAATGGATGGATGGATGGATGGAAGTAAAATATGTTGCTTTTAACTCATTGACTGCAGCCGTTTTTTGCTGATTTAACTGACTTTCAAGACTCACAGAATATTCTGTGATATTATTGTGGGAAATATGAAACCAGATTCTGAAAGACTGGACCGACTACTTTTTAGCTAGTTTCGATCTCCTGTGATCGCAGTCGAAAAGAGGGAAGTTTGACAGAAATCACCAGTTTGAAACAACAAGCTGAGGAAATGAGGCGTTTGTGAAAACAGGCGTTGAAAAGTGATTTAACAATATTTACTTTAACTTTAGTGTCTCCTCAAACATGTCCAGTATCTTAAATTCTATAAAAACGCAAAAACAACTTTTAAAACTTTTCCAAACGTACATTGAAAGTAGAGCCCATGACAAACTATGCCAGAAAGAATGGTCAGTAATCCTCCAGTAGGTGGCGCTTTATTTTTCAGTAACTCACAGAATAACAAAATAATTTTCTCTGTCAGCTCCAGAGACACTGCTCAAACCGCCTCAAGATGAAGCCTGTCCCTGGATGTTTTCCTCCTGCCTCCATCAGTCCCCAGACCCCCACAGAGCTCTGCTGCCCCCTGCTGGCTCTATCTACAGCCAAACCCAAGATACACATGAAACAGGGGACACAGTCGGAAAGGAAAATAGTGAAAAACTAATTATTTCAAATGGCGTTTTAACCACTGCCGCCAACATGACGCATGAAGCAAATGCAGGAGATGAACATAATTAAACTTTTGCCAATATTATTTTTTTGATCCCCGTATGAGAAATTCAGGTGTCCAGTTGCAGCAAAAATAAATAAAATAAAATTGATCATTCTAAAAAGATAACAATAGTAATAATCAGTAACAGTCCTTCAGGTCACAGCAGCAGAGGTGGAGTAGTCTCTGGGTGGAGCAGGACGGGTCCAAGGGTGGAGTAGCCTCTTGGTTCAGACCATTTTCTATGCTTTATTCTGAAGTAAAAGGCAAAATGCTTCATTAGCATTTTTCAAAAAGTTAGCATTCCTCCAGTGGATTTTCACCTGATCCGCTTGGTTTGGACCATGAATCCTCTCTGCTCTGGTCTGGACCAGTGTAAAACCATGAATCCTCTCTGCTCTGCTCTGGACCAGTGTAAAACCATGAATCCTCTCTGCTCTGGTCTGGACCAGTGTAAAACCATGAATCCTCTCTGCTCTGGTCTGGACCAGTGTAAAACCATGAATCCTCTCTGCTCTTGTCTGGACCATAACCAAAATAACAATTGTAAACCGCTTTGAGACTCCGATGTGCAGTGAAAAGGCGGTATATAAATAAAAAGCTTACTTACTAGCTTACTTACCAGTGTAAAACCATGAACACTGTACTGCACCAACATATCAGGCAGAAAAAAGCAAGAAAAATGAAAAATGTAAAACACAAAACAGTTTCAGAGACACTTAGGACTCGCTGCCGTTTTCCAGAACATTCAAAAGTAAACGATGATCATCCTCTCCTGAGGTCAGGGTAAGGGTCGGGGTAAGGGCCGGGGTAAGGGTAACAGAGTCAGGGTTAGGGTCAGGTTTAGGTCGATCATCAAACCTGACTCCAATGGAACCTGCATCTACAAATCTATACCAATAATCGTTGCGTTTCGGCTCAGTCCTCTCCGTTGGCGATCCTGCAGGTCCGTTGGTGGGCCTCAGACCAGCGTAAAACCACACAGCTCTCGGTGGAAATGAGAATACTGAGTCCGTTGACCGCATACTTCTGCGAGCCCCAAAGGACACTGTAAGAGCCCCATTCTCATTCCTGTCCACTCATCCGTTCAGTCAAAGGTTAATTGGTTTGGAAATGATTCGATTCATTCCGGACCTTAATGCTGTTATCGTGCTTTTGTACCAACCAAAACCAGAAAGAAAAACTCCGCCGCCGCCTGCACTTAAGCTTAATTTAAAATAAAGGCTCCCTGAAAAAAAGAAGAATCCAATTTAATCATTTCTACTGCCCGCCTCCGTCCCCACAAGTCTGTCGTCTTTAAATTATGGCAGAATTTCATTACCTTGAAAGCCTCCCCTCCCCTCCTCTCCCCCCTCCTCACCCCTCCCCTCCTCTCTCCTCCTGCCCTCCACACCCCCCCGGCTCGCTGCTTGGAACGGACCAAGGACCAACGGAGAATGCGTCACAAGTATCAGCCCAAGGTCGGGATCTTTGGGCATCTCTGGAGGCTGAGGTCCCGGGCGGAGGCTGAGGCCCTGTACGGAGGCTGAGGTCCCGGGCGGAGGCTGTGGGCCTGTACGGAGGCTGAGGTCCCGGGCGGAGGCTGAGGGCCTGTACGGAGGCTGAGGTCCCGGGCGGAGGCTGAGGGCCTGTACGGAGGCTGAGGTCCCGGGCGGAGGCTGAGGGCCTGTATAGAGGCTGAGGTCCCAGGCAGAGGCTGAGGGCCTGTACGGAGGCTGAGGTCCCGGGCGGAGGCTGAGGGCCTGTATAGAGGCTGAGGTCCCAGGCAGAGGCTGAGGGCCTGTACGGAGGCTGAGGTCCCGGACGGAGGCTGAGGGCCTGTACGGAGGCTGAGGTCCCGGGCGGAGGCTGAGGGCCTGTACGGAGGCTGAGGACCCAGGCGGAGGATCATGTGCACATATTTACACTTTAGCATGCGTTTTCCACATATGATAAAACTGTTGCTCTTTGTAAATAGAGATCATGACTGAGTTTCCTCCGTCCTCACAGACTGTGATTTACACGCTCCTCCCTGACCTCTGACCTCCACAGACACAACACTTTCTCACCTCCTTCTGCACGATGGCCTCGCTCGCCCCTGACCTCTGACCCCAGTGTAAACAACACGACCTCATAACCTCATAATGGTACTGTGTTGCTGGTTCCTAGTCTCACATCCTCTGCTCTACCCTTCTGTGTTGCTGGTTCCTAGTCTCACATCCTCTGCTCTACCCTTCTCTGTTGCTGGTTCCTAGTCTCACATCCTCTGCTCTACCCTTCTGTGTTGCTGGTTCCTAGTCTCACATCCTCTTCTCTACCCTTCTGTGTTGCTGGTTCTCAGTCTCACATCATCTGCTCTACCCTTCTGTGTTGCTGGTTCCTAGTCTCACATCCTCTGCTCTACCCTTCTCTGTTGCTGGTTCCTAGTCTCACATCCTCTGCTCTACCCTTCTGTGTTGCTGGTTCCTAGTCTCACATCCTCTGCTCTACCCTTCTGTGTTGCTGGTTCCTAGTCTCACATCCTCTGCTCTGTCTCTCTGTGTTGCTGGTTCCTAGTCTCACATCCTCTGCTCTACCCTTCTGTGTTGCTGGTTCCTAGTCTCACATCCTCTGCTCTACCCTTCTGTGTTGCTGGTTCCTAGTCTCACATCCTCTGCTCTACCCTTCTCTGTTGCTGGTTCCTAGTCTCACATCATCTGCTCTACCCTTCTGTGTTGCTGGTTCCTAGTCTCACATCCTCTGCTCTACCCTTCTGTGTTGCTGGTTCTCAGTCTCATATCCTCTGCTCTACCCTTCTCTGTTGCTGGTTCCTAGTCTCACATCCTCTGCTCTACCCTTCTGTGTTGCTGGTTCCTAGTCTCACATCCTCTGCTCTGTCTCTCTGTGTTGCTGGTTCCTAGTCTCACATCCTCTGCTCTACCCTTCTGTGTTGCTGGTTCCTAGTCTCACATCCTCTGCTCTACCCTTTGCTGGTGTCAGACCTTTCCATTTCAATCTTGAGTGTGAGCGGTGGTCGGTGTTTCCGCGCCGCCGGCTGAAGAATGAGTCACGAGGCGAACATAAAAGCCAAAAATATCAAATCAAAAGAAACGTCTCACAAAAGCAGACGGAGCTCTTGAGTGGAATTTGGCGTCTGACTTTGTCAGAGAAAAAATGGCCTCCATTTAAAGTCGTCACAGCAGCGTGATGTATGTGGCTTTAGAGCCATCCGTCAGGAGAGAGAGAAATGCACCATGGGGGGTGGGCGAGGGGGGGGGGGGGGGGGGGGGGGGGGGGGGGGGTTTGGACCAACACACCGTAAGTAACTAAGTAATGTTTATTTATATAGCGCATTTTACAGACCAAGGTCAGACCCAAAACACTTTACAATGTTCAGAGTCAGATATTGTTCTAATCGTTCCACACACGGTGAGGACAGAAGCGAGTCCAGAACACACTGGACCATCAGCTCCAACACCATCCATTCACTCTCTCATTTACATTCAGACCTATTGTGCATGTTTTCAGTGGTAGGGGAAACCGGAACACCCGGAGGAAACCTACGCAGCCACGGGGAGAACATGCAAACTCCACTCAGAAAGGCCCTGTTCTGACTGGGATTCAAACACAGGACCTTCTTGCTGAGAAGCGAGACTTCAGACAGCTTTGGATTATAATAAAGTAACATGTGTTGTTGAGCAGGCTTCACGTCCACAGACCTGGCTGGTCCTGTTGGGTCTGGGTCAGTCTGGTCTGGTCCTGTTGGGTCTGGGTCAGTCTGGTCTGGTCCTGTAGGGTCTGGGTCAGTCTGGTCTGGTCCTGTAGGGTCTGGGTCAGTCTGGTCTGATCCTGTAGGGTCTGGGTCAGTCTGGTCTGGTCCTGTAGGGTCTGGGTCAGTCTGGTCTGGTCCTGTAGGGTCTAGGTCAGTCTGGTCTGGTCCTGTAGGGTCTGGGTCAGTCTGGTCTGATCCTGTTGGGTCTGGGTCAGTCTGGTCTGGTCTGGTCCTGTAGGGTCTGGGTCAGTCTGGTCTGGTCCTGTAGGGTCTGGGTCAGTCTGGTCTGGTCCTGTAGGGTCTGAGTCAGTCTGGTCTGATCCTGTTGGGTCTGGGTCAGTCTGGTCTGGTCCTGTAGGGTCTGGGTGAGTCTGGTCTGGTCCTGCAGGGTCTGGGTCAGTCTGGTCTGGTCCTGTAGGGTCTGGGTCAGTCTGGTCTGGTCCTGTAGGGTCTGGGTCAGTCTGGTCTGGTCCTGTTGGGTCTGGGTGAGTCTGGTCTGGTCCTGTAGGGTCTGGGTCAGTCTGGTCTGGTCCTGTAGGGTCTGAGTCAGTCTGGTCTGATCCTGTTGGGTCTGGGTCAGTCTGGTCTGGTCCTGTAGGGTCTGGGTCAGTCTGGTCTGGTCCTGTTGGGTCTGGGTCAGTTTGGTCTAGTCCTGTAGGGTCTGGGTCAGTCTGGTCTGGTCCTGTAGGGTCTGGGTGAGTCTTGTCTGGTCCTGCAGGGTCTGGGTGAGTCTGGTCTGGTCCTGTTGGGTCTGGGTCAGTCTGGTCTGGTCCTGTAGGGTCTGGGTGAGTCTGGTCTGGTCCTGTAGGGTCTGGGTCAGTCTGGTCTGGTCTGGTCCTGTAGGGTCTGGGTCAGTCTGATCCTGTAGGGTCTGGGTCAGTCTGGTCTGGTCCTGTTGGGTCTGGGTCAGTCTGGTCTGGTCCTGTAGGGTCTGGGTCAGTCTGGTCTGGTCTGGTCCTGTAGGGTCTGGGTCAGTCTGGTCTGGTCCTGTTGGGTCTGGGTCAGTCTGGTCTGGTCCTGTAGGGTCTGAGTCAGTCTGGTCTGGTCTGGTCCTGTAGGGTCTGGGTCAGTCTGGTCTGGTCCTGTAGGGTCTGGGTCAGTCTGGTCTGGTCCTGTAGGGTCTGGGTCAGTCTGGTCTGGTCTGGTCCTGTAGGGTCTGGGTCAGTCTGGTCTGGTCCTGTAGGGTCTGGGTCAGTCTGGTCTGGTCCTGTAGGGTCTGGGTCAGTCTGGTCTGGTCCTGCAGGGTCTGGGTCAGTCTGGTCTGGTCCTGTAGGGTCTGGGTGAGTCTTGTCTGGTCCTGTTGGGTCTGGGTCAGTCTGGTCTGGTCCTGTAGGGTCTGGGTGAGTCTGGTCTGGTCCTGCAGGGTCTGGGTCAGTCTGGTCTGGTCCTGTAGGGTCTGGGTCAGTCTGGTCTGGTCCTGTAGGGTCTGAGTCAGTCTGGTCTGATCCTGTTGGGTCTGGGTCAGTCTGGTCTGGTCCTGTAGGGTCTGGGTCAGTCTGGTCTGGTCCTGTTGGGTCTGGGTCAGTTTGGTCTAGTCCTGTAGGGTCTGGGTCAGTCTGGTCTGGTCCTGTAGGGTCTGGGTCAGTTTGGTCTAGTCCTGTAGGGTCTGGGTCAGTCTGGTCTGGTCCTGTAGGGTCTGGGTGAGTCTTGTCTGGTCCTGCAGGGTCTGGGTGAGTCTTGTCTGGTCCTGCAGGGTCTGGGTGAGTCTGGTCTGGTCCTGTAGGGTCTGGGTGAGTCTGGTCTGATCCTGTTGGGTCTGGGTGAGTCTGGTCTGGTCCTGTAGGGTCTGGGTCAGTCTGGTCTGGTCTGGTCCTGTAGGGTCTGGGTCAGTCTGATCCTGTAGGGTCTGGGTCAGTCTGGTCTGGTCCTGTTGGGTCTGGGTCAGTCTGGTCTGGTCTGGTCCTGTAGGGTCTGGGTCAGTCTGGTCTGGTCCTGTTGGGTCTGGGTCAGTCTGGTCTGGTCCTGTAGGGTCTGAGTCAGTCTGGTCTGGTCCTGTAGGGTCTGGGTCAGTCTGGTCTGGTCCTGTAGGGTCTGAGTCAGTCTGGTCTGATCCTGTTGGGTCTGGGTCAGTCTGGTCTGGTCCTGTAGGGTCTGGGTCAGTCTGGTCTGATCCTGTAGGGTCTGGGTCAGTCTGGTCTGGTCCTGTAGGGTCTGGGTCAGTCTGGTCTGGTCCTGTAGGGTCTGGGTCAGTCTGGTCTGGTCCTGTAGGGTCTGGGTGAGTCTTGTCTGGTCCTGTAGGGTCTGGGTGAGTCTGGTCTGGTTCTGCAGGGTCTGGGTCAGTCTGGTCTGGTCCTGTAGGGTCTGGGTCAGTCTGGTCTGGTCCTGTAGGGTCTGGGTCAGTCTGGTCTGGTCCTGTTGGGTCTGGGTGAGTCTGGTCTGGTCCTGTAGGGTCTGGGTCAGTCTGGTCTGGTCCTGTAGGGTCTGAGTCAGTCTGGTCTGATCCTGTTGGGTCTGGGTCAGTCTGGTCTGGTCCTGTAGGGTCTGGGTCAGTCTGGTCTGGTCCTGTTGGGTCTGGGTCAGTTTGGTCTAGTCCTGTAGGGTCTGGGTCAGTCTGGTCTGGTCCTGTAGGGTCTGGGTGAGTCTTGTCTGGTCCTGCAGGGTCTGGGTGAGTCTGGTCTGGTCCTGTTGGGTCTGGGTCAGTCTGGTCTGGTCCTGTAGGGTCTGGGTGAGTCTGGTCTGGTCCTGTAGGGTCTGGGTCAGTCTGGTCTGGTCTGGTCCTGTAGGGTCTGGGTCAGTCTGATCCTGTAGGGTCTGGGTCAGTCTGGTCTGGTCCTGTTGGGTCTGGGTCAGTCTGGTCTGGTCCTGTAGGGTCTGGGTCAGTCTGGTCTGGTCTGGTCCTGTAGGGTCTGGGTCAGTCTGGTCTGGTCCTGTTGGGTCTGGGTCAGTCTGGTCTGGTCCTGTAGGGTCTGAGTCAGTCTGGTCTGGTCCTGTAGGGTCTGGGTCAGTCTGGTCTGGTCCTGTAGGGTCTGAGTCAGTCTGGTCTGATCCTGTTGGGTCTGGGTCAGTCTGGTCTGGTCCTGTAGGGTCTGGGTCAGTCTGGTCTGATCCTGTTGGGTCTGGGTCAGTTTGGTCTAGTCCTGTAGGGTCTGGGTGAGTCTGGTCTGGTCCTGTAGGGTCTGGGTCAGTCTGGTCTGGTCTGGTCCTGTAGGGTCTGGGTCAGTCTGGTCTGGTCTGGTCCTGTAGGGTCTGGGTGAGTCTGGTCTGGTCCTGCAGGGTCTGGGTGAGTCTGGTCTGGTCCTGTAGGGTCTGGGTCAGTCTGGTCTGGTCCTGTAGGGTCTGGGTCAGTCTGATCCTGTAGGGTCTGGGTCAGTCTGGTCTGGTCCTGTAGGGTCTGGGTGAGTCTGGTCTGGTCCTGTAGGGTCTGGGTCAGTCTGGTCTGGTCCTGTTTACATACATCTTTAATCCCTTGTTGCCACTTACGGAAATGTGCTCAGACGTGTTGTACTTTTACAGAACTTGTCAAGTCTCCAAGTTTTAATTAAAATTGTTGAGTGGCCTGTGTGTGTGTGTGTGTGTGTGTGTGTGTGTGTGTGTGTGTGTGTGTGTGTGTGTGTGTGTGTGTGTGTGTGTGTGTGTGTGTGTGTGTGTGTGTGTGTGTTTGTGTCTCCAGGGTGGGAGAGCTCCAGGCGAGGTGTCCGCGAGCCTTCCAAACGTGCTGTTTCCTGTGACAGCCCCCCCCCCCCCCTTCTCCCACACAGCCCCCCCTCACAGACCCCATCCTCCCCCTGACATTGCCTCGCTTCGCAGAACTCTGCAGCTGCAGCGTCCAAACACTGAGTGGAACTGCTGCAAACTGTTTAAGTTTACTGTTAAGGTGGTCCTGTGGAGGTGGTCCTGTGGAGGTGGTCCTGTGGAGGTGGTCATGTGGAGGTGGTCATATGGAGGTGGTCCTGTGGAGGTGGTCCTGTGGAGGTGGTCCTGTGGAGGTGGTCCTGTGGAGGTGGTCATATGGAGGTGGTCCTGTGGAGGTGGTCCTGTGGAGGTGGTCCTGTGGAGGTGGTCATATGGAGGTGGTCCTGTGGAGGTGGCCCTGTGGAGGTGGTCCTGTGGAGGTGGTCCTGTGGAGGTGGTCCTGTGGACGTGGTCCTGTGGAGGTGGTCCTGTGGAGGTGGTCATATGGAGGTGTCCTGTGGAGGTGGTCCTGTGGAGGTGGCCCTTTGGAGGTGGTCCTGTGGAGGTGGTCCTGTGGAGGTGGTCATATGGAGGTGGTCCTGTGGAGGTGGTCATATGGAGGTGGTCCTGTGGAGGTGTGGCCTCAGGACCTGGTTCTTGTGGGCGTGGCCTCAGGACCGGGTTCCCGTGGTCCTGAAGAAGACCCGGGGGATTTTAACGTAGATAATTCCCCGACTGATCAGTCTCCTCATCACCTTCACAAAACTCTGCTGCTGGGAGTTAAAAGCCTCTTTGGCACTACACCCACTCCTCTCCTTGTCTCCCCCCCTCTCCCCCGTCCCCCCCCCCCCTCCTCCCCCCTCATCATTGCGACGCCCAAGGACACGGGGCCCGGCTCCACAATGGGACGCCATTTATCACCGCGGGACAATTACCGGAGACGTTTCATTGTCAGAAAATTTCAAACCAATTCTTTCACCGTCTCAGAGCCTTTTATCCAGGCCCTGTCCTCCGCATCCTCTGGTCTCCCACCGGTGCCTCCCCCCCCCCCCCGTCCCCCTCCCCCGCCCCCATCACCATCCTTTCCTCGTCATCCCCCCACCACCGTCCTCCCATCGCTGTCCTCTCCACGCGCATTGTCCGCTGTCCGAATACCATTAGAGCCCACCTTGCTGTGTGTGTGTGTGTGAATGTGTGTGTGTGTTTGTGTGTTTGTGCGCGTGTCTTTGAGCATAAGTGTGTGTGTGTTTTTGTGCCTGTCACTAAGCCAGATAGAGAAGGACCCCAAGGCAGCACCGGAGGGCCAGGTTCTGTGCTACGTTAGCTCAGCTGCAGGTGGTTCTCATGGTTTCACTGGAAAAACAAATATTGTACATTATGAGTTGATGAAAGTGTCCGTTTACTTCTGGAGTTTCATGTTTTACTTGAAACAAAGTCGGAGAAAAGATATGTTCTCAAATCTACAGCAGGGTGAGTAAGTAAGTAAGTAAGCTTTATTTATATACCGCCTTTCACAGACCAGAGTCACAAAGCGGTTTACAATTGTTATTTTTTGGGCACTTGTCCTCTCACTCCACACAGAGATGGGAGCGGGGTCGCCGAACAGGAGGCGCATGCCAGACCTATTGTACATATTTTTAGTGGTAGGGGAAACCGGAGTACCCGGAGGAAACCTACGCAGACACAGGGAGAACATGCAAACTCCACTCAGAAAGGCCCTGGTCCGGCCGGGATTCGAACCCAGGACCTTCTTGCTGAGAGGCGAGAGTGCTATCCACTCAGCCACCGTGCCGCCAGCACGGTGGCACGGTATAACTACTAAGCACGGTGGGGTTTAGTAGTTATACCATTGATTCACCAACACAGATCAGAGAATCAAACAGTTCAAACCAGTGGAGGCGGGTCCCGGCTCCAAAAGATCCATGAGCATGTGCGCTGACAAGCTGCAATACCAGTCCGGGCCTGTGGGGGTGTACCCGGATTAAGAATTACCCAATGTTTTTGTATGGCGTCTTCTTTCCTTTCCTTTCCTTCACAGGATGGTCCAAAAGTGGCTCTTGGTCCAAAAGTGGCTCTTGGTCAGAAAGTGGCTCTTGGTCCAAAAGTGGCTCTTGGTCCAAAAGTGGCTCTTGGTCAGAAAGTGGCTCTTGGTCCGAAAGTGGCTCTTGGTCCAAAAGTGGTTCTTGGTCCAAAAGTGGCTCTTGGTCCAAAAGTGGCTCTTGGTCCAAAAGTGGCTCTTCGTCCAAAAGTGGTTCTTGGTCCAAAAGTGGCTCTTGGTCCAAAAGTGGTTCTTGGTCCAAAAGTGGCTCTTGGTCCAAAAGTGGTTCTTGGTCCTAAAGTGGCTCTTGGTCCAAAAGTGGCTCTTGGTCCAAAAGTGGCTCTTGGTCCAAAAGTGGCTCTTGGTCCAAAAGTGGCTCTTGGTCCAAAAGTGGCTCTTGGTCCTAAAGTGGCTCTTGGTCCAAAAGTGGCTCTTGGTCCAAAAGCGTCTGCCTCCACAGTGGTCTCGGTAGTTTGGAGCACTGTCTGAAGAGAGAGGGAGAGAAGATGGCGCCAGCAGTGTGCACGGTGAAGCATCAGCGCTCAGTGTTTTGTTTCTGTTTCTACAGTGTCTTTGGCATGAAAATGTCTCAGCTCTAATTGTGTATGATCGCCTGTCACTTCTCAATATTCGTGATCAGCATGAGATGTTTTTAAAACGAGTAATTATTGGAGATCAAGCTTCGTTTCCACCGCCACCACCATATGTTTCAGAGGTGCCAGTTTACCTACGGCGCGCACTCTAGCCCACTCCCCGAAAGAAACGCCCCAGAAGACGGGGAAAGCGTGGTGGTGTGGTCGCGAAAGTAAGAGCCTACCTCCGGTCTCTTCGTGGTCAGAATATCAGCCTGCAGAAGGATTGTGTCCTGTCGGTTCGCCAAACTTTTCCAACGAAGCGGTGGATTACCCCTGTCATAGACGGCAACGCCGCAGTGGATCAGCTGTGCGCACCAGCGGAGTACCTTCTCCGGCTTCCTCGAGCGGCTAATCGCGGTGTGGATCTTGGGAACCTCCGCCCGCTTAACCGAGCAAAACCTTTGCAGTATGCGGGAGACCTCACCCTTCATCTGGCGCTGATAAACGCCAGATCTTTAAGTAACAAGACCTTCGTGCTCAATGATTTCTTCACGTCCCGGGAGCTTGATGTTATGCTTTTGACAGAGACATGGCTACGAGCTGGTGAGTGTTTCGCATTTTCAGAGCTTCTCCCTCCGGCCTGCTCTTTCTTTAGCTCCCCTCGACTTACAGGCAAGGGCGGAGGTTTAGCCACGGTGTTTAAAACTGACTTTGTCTGCTGTTTGATTCCTATCAAAACTTACAAGAGTTTTGAGCTACAGCTCTTCAAAATCAAACTGGATCTACCCGTCCTTTGCGCGCTCATCTATCGTCCTCCCAAATTTAACAAGGATTTTATTAATGACTTTTCTGACTTTGTTGCAGGCATTGCACTAAATTGTAGCACATTTTTAATTGTTGGAGACTTTAATATTCATTTGTGTTGCCCCTCAAAGCCCTTGGTCAAAGACTTTTTAAATGTGTTGGAGTCTTTTAATCTTAATCAAGCGGTAAACGCACCGACTCACGACAAGGGTCATATTCTGGACCTTGTTTTATCTTGCGGTTTAAACGTAAACCTGACAGAGATTTGTGACGTTGGTATATCAGACCATTTCCCTGTGCTTTTTTCTCTGGTGATGTCCTTATCCAAAAGTAAATCATGCGTCCCAGCGCGTCAGCGGCGCGTCATCTCCCCATCCACAGCCCCACTTTTTTCTACGGCCTTTGCTGCCTCTGATCTCAACGTTCAGCTAATTTCTTGCAATCCTGCTATGAACATTGATGAGTTGGTTAGCTTATTTGACTTGACGTGCGTGGGCATTCTCGACACTGTTGCACCTTTTAAAATTCGGCGTTCACAGCTTGCAGAGCCATGGCACAATGACACTACTCGTGCACTCCGACGCAATTGTCGCCGTGCAGAAAGGAAATGGAAAAAGGACAAACTTCATGTATCACTGGGAATTTTAAGACAGTCCCTTGTGTAAGGTTAAACTGAGGGCAGGACCAAGCCTGTCCACTCTGTTTACCATTGACCAAATGGAGAGATACAGCTTCAAAGGAGCCATGGGGTCAGCCACAAGCCGCCATCAATCATGAGGATTACCGACGCCAATCGGACCCATAAAAACAGCGGGATACCCATCTGGTGCCCTTTTTCATGTTAACAGAGGAGCTGATACCAATCAGCATTGTCACAATGCATTCCACGGACCAAGGGGTCCACCCGCGGCCCTCTGACGCTCCCTAGCGGACACTGGACGCTACCGCACCCAAGACGAACATTCAAAGGGGACATTACTCAATGATATTAACGTTACGGACCTTACTCGTGTGTTTAATGTCTGTGATGTAAATACACTGTGTGTTTGTACATGTCTTATGATCATTTGCATCAATCCTGTATGTTTCTTCACAAACTGTCTGTGTAAAGGAGTTTGTCCACAGAGAGGGAAGACATGGACACGCCCCTTCAGAAGTCAATATAAGCACCCGCAAAGCATTGTTCTTTCTCTTGCCTTCTCCTGAAATCACTATCGCAACCTCCCTGGCCATCGGCGTCCCGCGGCACGTGTCTCCTACTACGGTCGCGCCAGCACGCATCGGGCCTTCTACTCCGCCAAACATACTCTCCTCTGGCTCGGGACCTTACGAACCATTTCATCACCAGCCTCTTTCCTTGGCTCTGGACTATACGCGTGCAACCCATTCCGGACTGAGCTGCATACGCGTGGACCAGCAGCTGGACCAACTCACTGGCTTTGTACCTCCCGCCTGCCCAGACAAAGGAACCACGTGGACTGATCCCCAACCCAAATCCTTTCTCCATCCTCTACGCTCCTTCAAAGTAAGACTGTTCCTCTGTTAAATGTATGATTTGAATGATATGTGTACAACTCCTGCTTTTAATGTGACCAGAAATCCCTCTTCGTTATATTTTTACCCTCATTTTTGTAATCAATAAAATACTTTTCTTTAACTCAACCCCTCCAGAGTCGCGTTGTTAGATCTCGGAATATCCCTGGCCGATAAAAGTACTCACTACCTATTAGATTTATAGATTGATATCGAGGCAAAGATTTGGTTGGTGTCTATGTGCAGATTTCTAACTCTGCTGGTGCCCAAAATAAATAACATAGACCTGTTGGTGGAACGGCGAGCTTCCGCTCCGGAGACTAGCCGCTCCACACTACCAAATTCATACTAATAAGTAATTATAATCAGCTAATATAAGTAGTCACCCTACATATTGGTGCCCTGTGTGAGGAGATCCGCGAATATAGACCAGATTTATCGACTCGTACTCTGTGAATTGACCGGTTAATATACGCTAACTTAGACTGCTGCTCCGCTCACAGCGCTTCCCCCCACTCCCGCACCCCCTCTGTCCCTGCTACCCCCGTTGCTAGAGTGACTTCAACGGCAATCGAGCTCCCCTACGCCCCACGCTTGCGATAAAAGCGTCTCGTGCATGCACCAGACTATTAATTTAGTCTCAAAAATCCTGGCTTCGGCGCAGGTACTACGCATCTCCTGCAACGTGTCGCCCCGCTTGGCCAGCGGGCAGCGTGGAATGTGAAAGCCGCTTCCCTCTGAAGAGAAAGCGCACAAACTTATTCTTATAACTCCACTGTACACCGTGCCCAGAACACGGGTGTACGGATCTATTGTGTCCCTTTGTGACCCAGGTCACACAGGATTTTAACCGAGTATATCTGTGTAAAAGGCTGTAAATGGCAGCTGTTTGAATGTGATGCTATCGTTTTGCTAAAGGCGGCTAACGCTAACTCTGTCTCACCACTCTCTCTGCCTGCTAACCTGCTGTTGTACACACACACCAGCACCCTACAGTACATACATACAAACCCCATTCCACCACTGTGATTACGTGCTTGTGCGAACTATATAACTCGCTCCAGACTTTCGTGTATAAACTGCTGCTACAATGTACCGTTGCCGGCAAGCTAAATGCTAGCTACGCTCCTTTGTTTTTAGCATAAGGCTAAACTTCCGCCCGGGCCCCGCTAGCCTCAAAGCTAACT